TCTTGAGCTCGGAGCAGATCTTCTGGACCAGCGAGAGGCGCTGCAGCCCGAGAAGGGCGTCCATCGTTGAACCGCGGCCTCGCGGCGCCAGCGAGGAGGGCGAGGAGCGGGCGCGGGCGGCGAGGACCTGTTTAGGCGAAGAAAAGAAAAACTTTTCCGCCGTCCATAGAGAATCGGATAGATAGCAAAAACATAGGACGCCCAGCCTTGCCCTCGTGCCGCCGAGTGCATATCCTATGCGAGAGAGATCCCCTGTGCCCTGTGCCCAGCCCTCTCCGCACGGCGATGCGCCCTCCCCCCTCGCTTTTGCAAAATCCTGCAAAGGTGGGGACGTGTCTGTCCTCGACCCAGCCCTAGCTTGGGATGTCCGTTGTATTTATTTATTTATTTAGAATCGGATAGAGAAAGCAAGGCGCGAGACACAATCCATCCTTAACTGACTAAACGAATTGAACATACGAAACGAGTGTGAGTTCGCCGAGAACCAACAAACAAACAAGGCGTGGGACCCATCCTTCCTAAACTAACTCACTACCCTCTTAATCAGCCATTGAACATATAGTCAACATCACTTTGATGATGGCCATGCACATAAACAACAGTAACACCCACAGCTGCAAATCCTCATGTCAATCACATATAGTGCATTGTGCGCACGGCGTCGCCGCGATCCATCCACGCGTACTGACAGCCCTCGCTTGAGGAGGGTGCGTGGAAGCACAACTCAACACTTGCCGTCGCCAGGGAGGCAGAGGCCAGGGGCAGACATGCATGACGCCCGGCCCGCTGACCCTCGCCTCCACCTGAGGGCCGCCCCTTTCGCCGCCGTGAGGACCTCGCTCAGTCTGGCCGTGAGGACCTCTGGCCGTGAGGACCTGCTTGTGGTCGTGAGGACCTCTTGGCGGGTGCGAGTTTCTTTTCATCCATGGAGCAGTTGCCTGCTGGCCGTCGGCGAGTGGCGCGGCGGCGCGAGGGCCTGTCGAGGCGGAAGAAAAGCAAAAATCCGTGGATTGCGTTCAAACCATCATGTCAATACACCGATGCAATACAGAATATTGAATTGGAGCAGGCGCACATCGCTTCCAGGGAGGGGGGCGCGCTTCTACTCACACCACATGCTAGGGGGGGGGTCCGACCCCCCCAGCACCTTCACCACATGCTAGGGGGGGGGTCGTGGCCGAGGACCCCCCCAGAGACTCGTGGTCAGACCCTCCGGGCCCTTGATTTTACGCCTCATTTCGCAGTATTTTCGAGAGGAAAATCATCCTTTGTTTGGAGCTACATGAGCCTTGAGACTGGTCAGATTATCCAAGATATTGGAGTTTCAGCCACGATTTCACAACTTTGGGGGCAAAATCGGCTCTCTGGCGGCTATTCCTAGCCCACAAACTGCTGGGGGGTGCCCACCACATGCTAGGGGGGGGGTCCGACCCCCCCCATAGGCTTCGCCACATGCTAGGGGGGGGGTCCCAACCCCCCCAGAGGCTTCACCACATCCTAGGGGGGGGGTGGGGCGTGAGTAGAAGCGCGCCCCCCTCCCTGGAAGCGATGTGCGCCTGCTCTTGGTACACTCTTAAAATGATGCCCACATACTCTCAATCATCTGTCTCGCCTCAACACGAGACCTCTCCTGACTCGAGTGTGGAAGACTCAAGGCAGAAGTGAAGAACAACTCAACATTGGCCATGCTGGAGGCACCAGCCAGAGGCACATAAGGGCAGCGAGGCCCTCACCTCCTCTTTGGGGGGGGCCGCCGTTTCGCCATCGTGAGGACCTCTGGCCATGAGGACCTCTGGCCGTTAAGCGGTGTACCTTGCACATCGCAGGCTGCGCGGCGTCGGACTACGTACACGAGATCAACACGCGCCGAACTGAACCCACTGGGGCCCCTCAATTCCTCCCTCACTGATGTGGCACCAGCCCTCGAGCCGTCGTGTGCTGAGGACCTCTCTGGCCGTTGAGGACCTCTGGCGAGGGAGAGGACCTCTGGCCGTGAGGACCTCTGCGAGAGGGCCATATAGCCGTTTACAGCCTTGTGCATCGTGCATCGCTGCGCGGCGAAGTCGGACACTTTGAGGGAGGGAGGCGCGGGCCAGGGGGGGGAGGGGGGGGCACGGCAGCCTATTTTATGAACTATGTTACGTGCGAGCTCTTTTCATCAAGAGGAGTTGTTGCGTATATATAGGATACAGTGTTATATAGGCAGCATAGAGGTGCAGCACCCAGCACGCCAATCAATCAACCTGTCTCTTTGTGGCAATGCGTATGACCCCAAGCGGAGTCACACCACCCACTGTGATCAATCAACCTGTCTCTTTGTGGCAATGCGTATGACCCCAAGCGGAGTCACACCACCCACTGTGATCAATCAACCTGTCTCTTTGTGGCAATGCGTATGACCCCAAGCGGAGTCACACCACCCACTGTGATTTTGTGTGACCTCTGCGTCTTGCTTTGCCAACAACATACACACCTAAAACCCCTCGGGTCACGGACCCTCCGGAGCAGAGCTAGCCTCCCGGAGTTAGCCGCGCCCCCCCCAAAGCGCATCTGGCGCGCGCACTTGGAGTCATCAGCCTCACATCCAGGGCCGGGGAGAGCGCGTACCGGAATTCTTTTTCATTACTCCTGTGGTGGGGGCGACGGCTTCTGAGGAAGCCGTCGCCTGCGCCTTGCCTGTCGCGCGAATCGTACTGCGGCACTTCCACGCGAATTTCTTTTTTCCCAACGGTTCTGAGGACCTCGCTCTGGCCGTGAGGACCTCTGGCCGTGAGGACCTCTTGCCGTGAGGACCTCTGGCGTGTGAGCCTTGTCGAGCCTTTCGAAGGCCTTGCATATCGTTCGGTGTTTATCGCAGGAGCCTGCGCGGTGAAGTAACCAGTTGCAGGCCGGGTGCGGGCTGGTGCAGGGGGGACCTGGCGAGCATATGCAGGCCGTGCAGCCCATTTTATGTGTGTGTTGAAGTTCTCTTATTACGGTGAAAGTGAATATTGGAGGCAGAGAGGTGCACGGTACGGAGGCAGAGAGGTGCACGGTACGCCCCCCGTGACATTATCATTTTTGTTTAAGCTTATCCTGTTTCTTGCATCGCTGATCGACGGTCAAAGAATTCTTAAAGGCCACGGCTCTCCCACTGACCTTCATCAAGAGTCTCTGTGACT